GATTATCTCAACATAATTAAAGCCATATATGATAAACCCACTGCCAGTATCATCCTGAATGGGGAAAAGCTGAAAGCTTTTCCTTTAAGAACAGGAACTAGACAAGGATGCCCACTCTCACCACTCCTATTCAACATAGTGTTGGAAGTACTAGCCAGAGCAATCAGAGAAGAGAAGGAAATAAAGGGCATCCAGATTGGAAAAGATGAAGTCAAACTGTCCCTGTTTGCAGATGACATGATCCTATATATTGAACAGCCTAAAACCTCTACAAAAAAAACCTTTTGGAGTTGATAAATGATTTCAGCAAAGTAGCTGGATACAAAATCAACACACAAAAATAAGTAGTATTTCTATTCTCCAAAAGTGAACATGCAGAAAGGCATATCAAGAAAGCTTGCCCATTTACAATAGCCACCAAAACAATAAAATACTTAGGAATAGAGTTAACCAAGGATGTGAAAAATCTCTATAATGAGAACTACAAACCACTCCTGACAGAAATTAGAGAGGATACAAGAAGATGGAAAGATATCCCATGCTCTTGGATTGGAAGAATCAACATTCTGCAAATGTCCATACTACCCAAAGTGATATACAAATTCAAAGCAATCCCCATCAAAATTCCAATGACATTTTTATCAGAAATGGAAAAAACTATCCAATTATATGAAATAACAAAAGACCATGCATAGCCAAAGCAATGCTGAGCAAAAAAAATAAAGCTGAAGGCATAACACTACCTGACTAAAAACTATACTACAAAGCTATAATAACCAAAACAGGATGGTACTGGCACAATTTTAAGGCAGGTGGGAAAAGTGAGAGCAGCACATTCTAACTCTGCTTCAGGGATGACTACATCTGAGGGCCTCAGGAGAGGGTGTTGTACAGCTTCTCAACCATCAACTAGGGCATTAAGTGTGCATGGGGCTGTACAAAGTGAAGTAAAGTCCCCACCCACTGCCTGCTGGGAAGCAGGGAGCTAAGACCCTGGGACACCACAGGCCTACACTATGAAAAACACAGACACTCAGCAACTGCCAGAAGTAACAAAAAGTAAAGATGTCAGCTGACTTCTGGGGACAGACTGCAGAAGTAGGGCCAAAAGGACCTCACCACTCTCTCAAGTACAGTTCCAGAGGCAATGAAAGGAGGCCAAGCATTCTGCTGGGCTAGGGTGGAGCCTGTGGATAATGTGGCTTAAGTGGAGGGCTGGAGACACCAGAGGGGTGACAGGACAGACCAGGTACAGAGAAGGAGAGGGAAGAGAGGAGCAAGGGGCAAACTGTGTTGGGAGGTAGAAGCCAGCACATGACCTAACCACACATGTGAAGCTATGCACACCCCTCCCTCCCCAGAGCCCGCTGCTTGTGGTAGAAGGGCGGGGGGCTACTATTTGGTAAGGGAAGGAAGCATCCCGAAGGTTAGAAGGAGACTGAGTTTCTCTGACTGAAGAATTCCCTACATCACTAAAAACAGATTTGCAAATCTTTATCAAAAACTTCCAGATATTTTTCTCATGGCAACAATCCCTTCTTAGGGGCCCACAGACTAAGAGGCATCCACCCTGTACTCCAATGTAAGAATCTGGTTTCCCATGTCTTGAAAAGTGGCAGCATTTCTGCTGAGTGCAAAGAAATCCCCAGAAAGGAAGGTGGATAAACATTTTCTATGGACCAGAAAATGTATCCGGTTTTATCAAAAGATAGTATATTCACACTCCAATGTAAGAATCTGGTTTCCCATGTCTTGAAAAGTGGCAGCATTTCTGCTGAGTGCAAGGAAATCCCCAGAAAGGAAGGTGGATAAACATTTTCTATGGACCAGAAAATGTATCCGGTTTTATCAAAAGATAGTATATTCACGGGACACTTACTCTAAGCTCCGCGGTATGGGTATGTGTGTGGGTGTGGGTATGGGTGTGTGTGAAAGAGAAGTAAGAAACTTTCTCTCTACAGGGCCCTCCCACTCCCGCCTTCAGTCTAAGCTTCACACAGCAGCCATGGTGATGCTGCAGAAATCATGTCCACTCTCCAGGGACTTCCATCTCTGAGTAAAAGCCAAAGTCCTTCTAGGGCCCCCAGACCAGACCCCATGATCCAGCCCATCCTCTCCTCTAGCCCACCCCTCGCTCACAGCCACAATGGCCCCTCACTGTGCTGAACATACCCCAGCCGCACCTCCCACCCCAGGGCCTTTGCACTGGCTGCTCCTTTTGTTCAGAGCACCCTTTCTAAAAGCTGTCCACAAGGCTTCCTCCCTCACCTGCTTCAAGCTCTATTCTTGTTGACGTTCACCCCACTGAAAATCACCACATCCCTGCCCCACCCCACTCTCTATCACCCTTACTGTTCCGTCTGTTAGTGCCAATCATCGCCTATCACCCTGCAGACTCCACACACCGTGCCTTGTCTTTGGCCTGACCTGCCCATTGGGCATCAGCTCCTGAGGGCAGGGACTTGTGTGTGCTGTGGCCTCTGCTGTGTCCCCAGCACCAAGGAAGGCGCCGATCATTTCACAAATGAATGAATGAGTGAATGGAGAACCCAATGGTTGATCTGAGCCACCACCGTTATAGATAAGGAGGTAAACATGTTTAAAACAGCATCTGTATAAAATGTGCTGGGAATCATCCACTCATACAGGGCGTGAGTATAAACTGAACGTGTGAACTGCCTTCTCTACCTTCTCTAGCAATCAAACATATTCCACCCTTAAAGAGTTTATTATGTGGGAAATTTAGAATAAGTGATAAAGTTAAACAGAATGAAATAGGTCTCCTGAATATCAATTTTTGTTTGGTTTGGTTGTACTGAATAGATTTTACAGGTACAAACCTCATAGCACGAGGCAGGCCTTTAGCAACCTGTGAAAATACAAAGACCCAGACAAGTCAAAATCAAGATTAATGTTGCTCCCACTTCTTATTAAAAACCCAAGAATACAAATCAGTGCAAACATAAAGCTCCCATGGGGGTCCCTAGCAATCTTCTACCTGCTTCCAACAGTAGGAACTACCAGAGTAGTTTCACCTGTGCTCCTGGCTCACAGAACTGACCTCAGAAGTCCATAGCCTGGGCTGAGACGCACTTGTTGGGACCTGCCACGTGGTTTTAACCCAAGCAGTGCTGCACAGGGGCAGCTCCCTGTCACTCAGTCTGTGGAGAAGGCCAAGTTCAGGAGAACAAGCAGTCAGTGACCCAGTGGGCCATAAGAGAGGTCTGGAAGGAAACATCCATCTCATACCTCTGCCCCTGCTCCCTGGAAGCACACCTGAACCAAGTGTGTTGTCTCAGCTTCAGAGAGAAAGGCCTCCACAGCCCTGGCTAGGCCCTCACAGTGACCCTGAAGCCCTCTGGCCAGCCACCGCCTAGCCCTCGCCCTACCTGCTCCATATTCCTGGGCTTGTGACCTCCGGTGACTCCCTGAACCTTCCCAGATTCTGGTTTCTCATCCACAGGTCAGAGATGAGTTGATGAGACACAGTCCCTGCCTGCAGGGGACCCCAGCACCTGCCTTGCATCCCTCTTCACTGGCTCGTGCTGACAGCAGATGGATACTGTTGGGTGTTGTGAGAGTACTTCAGAAACTCCATGGAAATATGGAATTGAAAGATAATACAAATCATTCCATGAACTTTCTGAAGACCCCTAGTACATGTGTCTCCAGACATGGTGCCTCCCTCAGGCTCCTCATCTGCAAAAGGAGGGGTAGCTGGACTCATCAGAGCTGGCTAAGCATTGAGAAGCAACTGCACCCCTTCAATGATAAGCTCCCACAGGGACGTCCAACAGTAATAGGTACCTCACCCTCACCCCTGTTCATGCTGCTCCAGCCACACCATGCTGGGGCCATCCTGCCTCTGGGCCTCTGCCTTGTTCTTTCTGCCTTATCTGTGCTTCCCCTGATGGTCTACAAGGCTTGCCCCTCCTCGTCCCCTTCAGGTCTTTCCTCAAATGTCACCTTCTCAGCGAGCCCTTCCCAGCTGGCCATCCATCTAAATAGCTCACCTGCTCTCTCCCCAGTTCTCTCCAGCACTTTCTGCTTCATTTCTCTCTACAGCAAATATCATCTTCCAACCTACCACATACTTGATTTTATTTATCTACTTATTGTATTTCTCCAGTAGACAGTAATAGTAGAAGCTTCATAAGATCAGAGGGTTTTTTGGTCTGTTTTGTTTATTCAAATATTCACAGCAACTAAGACAATGTCCGGCATCTAGTAGGTGCTCAATAAAAATGTGCTAAGTGAATGGAAATTGTGTCTTATCTCATGGGATTTTGGAAGGGCTTCCAAGAAGCCAGGTACCCCCTAAAAGGCAATGTTTGTGTTAGATTTTCTTTTTTTCTGGGAAGAGAATCACAGCCTCGGCATCTCAAAGGGATTTGTGACTCATAAAAGTTGAAGACGCGCTAACACAGATGCTTGAATCTAACAAGGATGATTATGTTTTTTCAAACAATGAATAAACTTCATTCACAGCCATTTGATAAAACAGCAGCATGTAATCCACCAGTGGTGTGATTATCAGTGTTCCTCCTTCAGAATTTCTAGCATAGAGTCAAAAGATTTGCCCGGGCAACTTTTATGAGCTGATTTTGAACAGGCGGCACGATTATCCTCATCGTCTGCAAGCCAGAACACCGGCGAGAATGAATAAACATGCGTTTCCACAGACTTGGAGCCAACTCCAATATTCACACAAAGCTGAGAGAAACGCACGTGGAAGGTGTGCACAAGCACAGCACGTGAAGACTCAGGTGGGCGGCTGGACAGGCAGACGGCCACATCCCACCTGGTCCATTACCTTGGGCCCACTGGGAAATTACCAGACCTGGGCCAAAAACAACAAAACCTATCCCTCTTTGCCACCCACCACCCAATTTCATAACAAAAATAACAAAAAACTCCATACACAAAATTGTCAATCATCTATGAGGTGTAAAAGCCCAACTCCGACATAGGATGTGGCTTACCTTCCCCTATCATAGAGACCCCCACGGACATGCCCATGAACTTGCTTTTGGTCCATACATGAGTGTTGACGCACAGTCTCTTCTCCTTGCACTCACAGTAGAAGCAGGAGATGGGAGGGTGATGGGACACTTGCTCAGCCACGAACCTCAGTTTGTAGCTTTTGGACAGGTCATCAGCCATCAGGTGTTCATGACAACCAGCAGGAGAGGGGAGAGCAGTCCTCTTTGGCTTGACCCTGTCCTTGGGAACTTCCCAGGAGCAGTGAAACGTCTCACCGATGATGGGGTTGTAGGGCTTCTTGGCCAAGGCCCCCTTGCGGCCCTCGTGGAAGGCTGTGAGATAATACTCCACAAAGCAAATGACTCTCTCCTCTGGCGTGGCCCCAGCAGTGATGGCCAGCAGCAGGTCTGGGTGTGCCATAAAATCTGCATACATCTCTAGCAAGGACCGCTTCTCCAGAATAAACGTGGGAAGCACCACCTGCATGCAGAGGGACACAAAGTCACACGGGAGTCTCTGTGATTACATGGAAAAGGCTGCAACCACTGCCAAGCAAGTCCGTAAACAGCTCAAGCCAGAGAACAGCTTCCGATTTGTACACAAGTGACAAATCAAGGGAAACAATACCAACCAAACTGGAAGTGGCGGCAGCATCAGCATCAGCCCAGCTTATGGGCAAGACCATTCAGAGTGATTCTCTCCCTTGCTTGTTTGGGCTAAAACAAATAGTCTCCACCTCTCTCTCTCTCTGCCATGGCTCTCCTAACACTCATCCCTCTTTAATGTGCATTTTTTGGACACATAAAGAAAACAGCTTGGGAGAACTCTTCTGTATTCCTCCTGCCAGCAGGCATGACCAAGGGGGCACTCTGTGTGTTCCCACAAACATACATACTAGGATTTGTTGGAGCCACTTCAAAGGGGGTCTAGGCAGACCAGGACCCACCACCCACAAGAGTATCTACTTGGAGATATTGAGTAGAAGAGTGGTGTGTAAACCCCAGCACGACGGAGGCAGGGTAGGACAACGGAGAGGGCCCGGCCCAGGGGTCCGGGAGGCCGGCCCAGCAGCAAACAAATGTCCACAGAGAAGAGGGACCATGGTGATTCCACCTGTGGAGGCTGCTCCAGAAGGCCGGGCCAGAAGAAAGCAGAGGAACTTACAAAGAAGTAGGCCAGTGCTTAACATACAGAATCTTCTGGTGAAAGGCTGGCACAGGGCTGCCCCTAGGTTTGTTACTGGCCCATGACTGAAGGTAAGTAGAAACCTGGATGACTCTGTCAGGGACAGAACAAAGAGACTCCTGGTTGATCCAAAGTAGATCCAGGTGGTCGCTCAGGGGCTCTACAACCCAAATGCCTATAACCCAACCATTAAGTCATTTACAGCAAATGAAAGATGTTCTGAACCTGGGAAGCAGGTAACTCACCAGTATTATACTTATGTCAAGCAGAAAGAGCCCATTTCTCACTGCCCTAGAGTGATCCTAAAATAACTTAGTTATTAGGTATTAATATTACACCCACTCAGCTGCAAGACACAGCTAGCTTCAACCTGGAGCATCTCATGTTGTTCCTCCCAACATGGATTCACAGGATTTTTAATCGGGACAACTGGCCCATACCTGCTGGGTCCTCAGCACCCCCGACGAGGGCAGAGGTACAATGCCCAGCTCAGGTGGGTTGACCAGCGCCACGTGGCTGGTTTCCCTCCCTCCTTACAGGATTAATTCTGTTCTTCCCTCATACAATTCCTAACTCCCATGAAAACCTGTGGCAAGGTGTACGATCACTGACCGCAAACATCCCACAGGCTTAGAGATCTGTAACTCTGACCCCACTTGAGCTTTCTAAGAAACTTCCTTGAAAATGATGTGGATACAATGGAAGGGAGAAGAGACATCCAGAGAGAAAGATACAGGCAGACGTGAGATGAGCAGAGCACAGAGATTTCAGAGGAAGCTGTTAAAATCCCAGCCCACTCGAGTAAAGTTTGGTAGACACTTAATGCTTTTCTATCATTCATTTAAAAACTATGTCAGAGGAAAATGTACCCGTGCTAAGTAAAAAAAGAAGCCAGATATAAAAATGAACATATAACACAATCCAAATATAAAAAGACCTAAAACATGAACACGTCTCATTTTTTCTTAGCATCTTTCTGCTTTGATTTTCTAATATACAGGAAGAGGAAACATTACTTAAAACACAGCTATAGTATGCAAGAAAAAGAAGCCAGATATAAAAATGAACATATAACACAATCCAAATATAAAAAGACCTAAAACGTGAACACCTCTCATTTTTTCTTAGCATCTTTCTGCTTTGATTTTCTAATATACAGGAAGAGGAAACATTACTTAAAACACAGCTATAGTTTGCAAATCAATGGAGATTTCCTAGTTTTCTTTCAGCTACAACTTGACAAGATTGAAAATTTGGCTGCCTGAGAACCTCATCTGGCTAGGAAAAGCACATTCTGGTTTGGAATGGCCTTCAGATGCCACCTCTACTACTTCCTGTGGCTTTGGTGAGGACATGTCATCATTCAGCAGTGATCACCATGCACTGTTCTGCTCTTCCAAAGAAGTTTTGCCAGGGCCAGCCTGCTGTCTCCCTGTGGCCTCTCACCACCCGCCCTCTGGCCACACTGCTGTCCAATGGCAGAGTAAAGAGCGCACAAGCAAGTAATCCCCAAACGTGTGCTACCCTTCGCTCTCCCACCCCCAGAATCACTCAAGGGCTTCCCTAAGAACTCCACCCAGACAGGCCACACAGGTTGGACAGTGTGGATTTAAACTGCCTGGAAACCTCCCAACAAGGCCAAATCAATTAAAAAGAAAAAGCAGCCACAATGTCTGCATCTTCACACCATCCTTAAATGGCTCCATTTCCCTTTCTCCCTCCCCAGGTCCATGGGGCCTGGGATCAGAATGCAGGCAGGGGAGGGAAAGGGCAGAATCACACACGGAGGTGGTCAGCCCCGACAGCACAGCTGCAATTAAAGACGATTTCACGACCTTGACTCCCGTGCGTCTCCCCACTCTGCAGCAATCGGCTCCTCTGGCAACAGTTCCACCTCTGCACCAGAATTCTCATGTTTGTACCCAAGACTGAAATTACAATGAGAGACTCTGCTACATTTGCTCTAATTGTGTACTTTTGAAAAGGACAAGAATTTAAGGCATTTCCCCTAATTTGGTCAGCATTTCTGAACTCAGAAGCTAAAAGACTAAAAATAAGTAAGAAAAAGAACTATACTTGGAACCCCAAATCACTGAACATCAGAACTAAAAGGGATCTTCAAGATTATGTAGTTCAATGCCCTGGCCTCACAGGTGCCGAAAGAGACCGGGAAAGGGACAGACAGCACTGTGCTCATGCCACTCAGTGGCCAAACCAGTGGGGAACCTCAGGGCTCCCAACTGCCACCCCCAAGTCCTTTCCATTACCCAGTGACACATCAGGATCATCTACTTCTGGCTAATGAGAACACTGGCTTTCCCTCAGCAGACTAG